CAGCCCAGAGCCCGAAGCGGGGCTCGAACTCACGGACCGCGAGATCGTGACCTGAGCTGAAGTCGGATGCTTAACCGACTGAGCCACCCAGGAGTCCCTAACCTGACCTTTTTTGATGACAGGGATGCATCTTTCTGTAGCTAGTGTATTCAGCTGCAGCCCTATGGTGCCTCAGAGCTTACCATGGTGAGTCTGTACCATCCACATAGGCAGCTGGGCTCTGAGCATCCTAGCTGCTTCCTCCAGTCTTCATTTACAAGAGGCAGCATGGCACAGTGCTTAACAGACTTGGATCTCAATCCAAATCAGGGTTTATTACCTTGGGTAACTTACTTAACTGTTCAGTGTCTCAGTTTCCTCATCTGTAAAATGGGTATGTAATAATGCCTACCCCATAGGCTTGTTGGAGAGTGTGTCAATACAGGCAACTTAGCACAGTGCCTGGTATGGCATAAGCACTCAATCTGTGTTAATATTGGTGTTGTTATGATGACAATTATTACAGTTGTTAGGTCTGCTATGGTTACATATGTATCTTGAGCATCTGCTAACTGTGGGACTGTTTTGGGACAGGCCCCTTCCCATTTCCAATTTGCTATTTGTACTCAGCTGTGATCCTGGAAACAAGTTCAATGAATGTCTCAGACCATTTTCAGTGAGGGCTGATCCCTAACAGGGGCTCTTAGTCAAGTGGACAGAGTTTGAAATATCTATCGTGATGGCTCAGAAGCCTATTCCCTATAAGGAGAGGATAATAAGAGAGTTATAAGATGTGGTGTTTGGTACTCAGGAGGGAGGAGCACACAAGAAAAGCAGAGGGTGTTTTTGTTTTTTGTCTTTTTTTTTTTTTTTGAGTAGCAGGCAAAAGTGTATTAGAGTATAAGATTAGAAAGTAAGAATAATAGGAAAGCTCTCTTTACAGAGAGGGGACATTTGAAAGTGACTGCCTCTGTTTTTTGCTTTTTAAGAAAGCTTACATGTCTTAGGAGGAACTGAAGAGTCCCCCAGAAGGCACAAATATATAAAAATTAGCTCCAGGGGCTGTACTGGGAGGTAAAGGCCTGTATACCTCATATATTCCAGCCGATAAACAGACAGGAGATAGGTGGACATGGCAAAGTCCAGCTTGTTGATGAGGGCGGACACTTCGGGGGCAGGGTCCAGCAGGTTGATGATGGTGCTGCGGAGCTCACTCAGTTCAGCCTAGGAGGAAATAAAAGGCTCAAGGGCTCTCACACAAGCACCTGGAGGGGAAAGCGGCCCTCCTCCAGGAGAGGTAGATAACATGTGATAACAAGGACAAAGAAAGGATCTGCCCATTGTTCAAGAAAGCTTAGCAAAATCCCTGCCCTGCATCATCTATACTCGGCAGGGTGAGAATCCTTACAGGGGTGACTGTGTCGTTTTTCATGGCCGAGTTATACTGGAGGACGGAACGCAGTGGTTCTTTGCTGGGAAACGTGAGCAGGGGTGACTTGGTGGCTATTTCACAGACCCCTTCGTACCATTCTTCTGGCCAAAGTCCTGCAAGAGAGTGCCCACAAGTGAGACCACCACCTTGCTCAAGAATCACTATAGAGCAGTTGACAATGACCATTTCTACAGTCGTGGGTCCTTTGCTTGAGCCAATTACCCCAAAATGGGGCACAGAAATGAGTTTGTCTTCTAACTCGGATGGGTTTTTTTCTAAGATTCATGGTATTCTTAGAACCCTAAAATACATCTGGGAAGTATAACATTTGCATACACACTTGTAGGAAGCAGCAGCTGAATTTGAACTAATTTTGAATGCATACACATTCATAATTAGGTAGAGTCCTACTTCCACCTTTGTTTTCACTCTGCACTCTTGTCTTCCCCAGAAGAGCAAGTATTGCCCTACCTGACCCCTCCACTGCGAATCCCATCAGCACAGAATAGAGCCAGAAGTCCCGGAAGAGCTTCTGCAACCGAGGTTTGGCTTCTTTGATGGGAGGCAACCTTCGGGTGAGCTGATATACCAAGGACAGAGGGAGAAAAGGAAGTTATTTGCTTGTAAGCCCTAAAACCTACAGATGTGAAATCAACCACAGATTCATTCTCCAAGAATCTGTCAGTCATTTTGGGTAGGAAAAGACACACTGAGCAGTGACCAACACCTCTTGATCAGTTCACTGGTAAATACTCACCCATTCGGCAAACACTTATTGAGTAGCTAATCTGCACCAGGCACCATGCCTGGGAGGTGAAAAGCCCCATTCCTGCAGAGGACTTGCTGCCTAGTTTGGAGGCAGGTGAGGAAATAATCACAGTGTGGCAGAGATCCTGGAGAAGGTGTCATGGGTCTCAATGTTACTATGCAAGGAACTCTTAGCCAGGCAGAGAAGAGAAAGCAGCCCATCCTGTGTAGAGCATGGAGGGCCTGGGGAGGCTGGAGCTCAGGTGAACAGTTGTGACTGAAGAGAAAGTGTGATCGTGAGAAATCTCATGGATCAAGGAGAAGTGGTTTTCAGATCTTTTCTGGCAGCGCAACTTTTCCAAACAATAATCTTGGGCAGAATCCCAAGATGTAAAACAGGTATAGGCAGAGTTGCTTAGGCGCAGGAGTGAGAAGCTGAAGTCCCTGCATCCTTGCTCCAGGTGGTGTCCCGCCCAGTATAAAGCAGGCAGTAGCTTGTAGTTATGCAAAAAACGTTAAATTTGCGCACAGCACCTCACCTATTGGACAAATTGGTCCTCACAGAACCCCCAGAGGACGTCAAGCCTCCTACGGTGATAATCAACCTACGATGAGGGGTCTCTGCAACACAAACATTCATGAGTGCCAAGTATGGGCCAGGGTCATGGGGTAGGACACATGATGATAGATACCATTGCTGGCAGGGGTGGGGGATCACAGAGAGAGATGGGCACCTGAACCCATGACTGGTAAGGACTATATAAACTGGTACACTATTTCCTGGAAAGCAATTTGGTAAAATGAATAAAAAATTCTAAATAATCCCATCATTTCACCAAAAATCTCCTCTCTAGCAATATATCCAAAAAAAATCTGAGTTAGGCACAAAAGTGTTGTAAGATTTGTTAGAACAGAAAAATAAATAAGGGCACCTGGGTAGCTTAGTCAGTTAAGTGTCTAACTCTTGACTTCAGTTCAGGTCATTATTTTACAGTTCTTGGGTTCAAACCCCAAGTTGGGGACTGTCAGCACAGAGCCTGTTTGGATTCTCTCTTTCTCTCCCCGCCATCCCTCCCCCTGCTCATGCTCTCTCTCAAAATAGATAAACTTAAAAAAAAAAAAAAAAAAAGAGTTGGACGCTTAACTAAGTCACCCAGGCACCCCTGGATCCTGGATTTTAAAAAGCTATCAAAGAAAAATATGGGGCGCCTGGGTGGCGCAGTCGGTTAAGCGTCCGACTTCAGCCAGGTCACGATCTTGCGGTCCGTGAGTTCGAGCCCCGTGTCGGGCTCTGGGCTGATGGCTCAGAGCCTGGAGCCTGTTTCCGATTCTGTGTCTTCCTCTCTCTCTGCCCCTCCCCCGTTCATGCTCTGTCTCTCTCTGTCCCAAAAATAAATAAGCGTTGGGAAAAAAAAAAATTAAAAAAAAAAAAAAAAGAAAAATAAATAAATAGTAAATAAATAAATAAAAAGCTATCAAAGAAGTCATGGAGAAATCTGACTGGGATATGTCTGATATGAGAGAGGAGGATTGATTTTCCTAGATGTTAACAGTGGTGCAGAGTAGGGCAGAGACCCTTCCATTTAAGAGACAAAGCTCCAGTACCCAGGGCTGAAGTGTAATGACCTCTACAACTCCCTTTCAAATACCTCAGGAGATACCCTCAGGGGGCACGCACACAGGGAATTAAGCAGATAAGGCAAAATAGTAACTGTTTTATCTAGGATGCTGGTATATGGATGTCCATTATTCAATTCTTCCAATTGCTCTGTATATTTAAAAATTTTTTTTTTCAACTTTTTTTTTTATTTATTTTTGGGACAGAGAGAGACAGAGCATGAACGGGGGAGGGGCAGAGAGAGAGGGAGACACAGAATCGGAAACAGGCTCCAGGCTCCGAGCCATCAGCCCAGAGCCTGACGCGGGGCTCGAACTCACGGACCGCGAGATCGTGACCTGGCTGAAGTCGGACGCTTAACCGACTGCGCCACCCAGGTGCCCCATGCTCTGTATATTTTTAAATTTCATAATAAAAAGTTGGTGGGGCACCTGAGTGGCTTAGCCAGTTGGTTAAGCATCCAACTCTTGATTTCAGCTCAGGACATGATCTCATGGTTCCTGAGTTTGAGCCCTGCGTTGGGCTCTGTGCTGACAGTGCAGAGCCTGCTTGGGATTCTCTGTCTCCCTCCCTCTCTGCCCCTCCCCTGCTTGCTCTCTTTCTCTCTTTCCCTCTCTCGTAATAAATAAACTTAAAAAAAATTTTAACAAAAAAAAGCTGTAAAACATATCTAACCATAAGGCAAGCCTTGTAACTAGAAAGAAAACAATGGAGTATGTGTGGCGGAAGGTACTGATTTACAGTGGGGGCCAAAACTATACACCTCCATTGGGATACAGATCCAAAACTGTCAGAATTGTCAAGAAGGGCTGTCAACACTCAGTTACATGATCAGAAACCTAGATATGTAAGGGGCACCTGGGTGGCTCAGTCAGTTAAGCATCTGACTTTGGCTCAGATCATGGTCTCATGGTTTGTGGGTTTAAGCCCTGCTTCAAAATTCTCTCTCTCAGCCCCTCACTCACTCACACTATCTCTCTCAAATATAATAAGAATAAAAAAAGAAATCAAGCTACGTAAGAAACATTATTGATTAGTTTAAAATAATCTAAACAATATATACTCATAGAAAAGAAATTTCAGCAAAGAAGTACGTAGAGTGAAAAAGGAACACTTTCTACCTGCCTTCCGTGTCCAATGTTAAAAGCTGGCTGCATCTCCTTCCAGACCTTTCCTGTGAATAAACTATGTGTGGTGAAAGTGATAATAGCTAACATTTACTGAGCATTTACTGAGTGCTGGGTGCCATTCTCTGTGCTTTCCACACATTATTACCTCATTTAATTTTCACAGCAACCTTATACAGTAGGTATAACTACTGTTTCAGAGAGGAGAATACAGAGGGCAGGAGGTGGGATTCCTGTCAGAGTAGCCAGTTCAGCCTTGGTGAAGCCCAGAGCAGATGATGTGAGCACAGCAGCCATGTGGTGGTCCAGAGAGACAATTTCCATGCAGAAAGAACAGCCAGTGCTAAATCTCTGGCGGGGGCCAAGCTTAGTGTGTGAGAACAAGGTAGAGGTGGAGGGAGCTGGCCTGGAGCAGATTATTAGATCCCTGAAGATTCCAGACAGAGGTAATGGACACTCTGAGCCAGCATAATGGTGCCCACACTGAAGTCCTAGTACTGAGTAGGAACGATGAAGATTCTGAGAAAGCAACGTGTGAGTAAAGCTAGTGAGTGCTAACCTAGACCCAAATCCAGCCACTCTTGCCAGGTCTTGAACACAATGGACAACCCTTTACATGCCAGAAATTTCTCAAAATGAGTAACACACAGACGCCCTGCTATGGGCTCCTTAAGAGCACCTACAGAGTCCCCAGAGAGTTATGTTCTCCCTTTAGAGGGTCTCTGGGTGACAAACACACTCTCAGGTACCAAAATCAGGGAGCAGCACTCTGTGACAAGTTGGTCTTCTAGGCAATCCAGAACATTCCTATAATAACATTTTATTTATTTATTTATTTATTTATTTATTTATTTATTTAGTGAGAGAGAGAGAGACAGAGGGAGAGGGAGAGATGGCGGGGAGAGATGAGGGAGGGGGAGAGATGGAGGGAGGGAGGAAGGGGGAGAGAGAGGGAGAGAGGGGGGGAGAGAGAGGGAGAGAGGGAGGGAGAGAGGGGGAGGGGAGAGAGGGGGAGGGGGAGGGGGAGAGCGGGCGAGAGAGAGAGAGAGAGAGAGAGAGAGAGAGAGAGAGAGAATCTTAAGCAAGCTCCACACTCAGCATGGAGGGTGACGCAGGGCTCAATTCCACAACCCTGGGATCATGACCTGAGCCAAAACCAAGAGTCATATGCTCAACCAACTCAACCAATTGAGTCACCCAGGTACTCCAATGATGTTTTAGATTACAGAATCTAAAACTAATTTTATTTATTTATTTATTTATTTATTTATTAAAAAAATTTTTTTTAATGTTTTTATTTATTTTTGAGATAGGGAGAGACAGAACATGAACAGGGGAGGGTCAGAGAGAGGGAGACACAGAATCCGAAACAGGCTCCAGGCCCTGAGCTGTCAGCACAGAGCCCAACGTGGGGCTCGAACTCAGGGACCACGAGCTCATGACCTGAGCCAAAGTCGGCCGCTTAACCGACTGAGCCACCCAGGCGCCCCTAAAACTAATTTTAAAGAGTGATCCTAGCCCCACAGATCCCTGTGAATGCCTAGGACCCGAAGTTTGGGAAGCACTGTTTGGTAATACCCTATCTGTCCTGCAATGGACATGGGATCTGGGCTGCAAGCCTGGCACAGAACACAGTGAGTGACCCCTGACTGAAGAAAGTTCGGTGCCAAGGTCTCCTTATGTTATAAATCACTAATCTCATTCCCTTCCTTCACTTTTCACAGAGGGACATGCTAATAGAAGCATGGGGACATGTGCCTAGTAGCCACATTAGCCCTGGAGACCAGGGCCAGGTCAGACATGGAGATCATCCCAGTGGGAGAATTCAAAGCTAGAGGGCAGGCAGAGGGCCTCTGCTTTCAGGGGAACATTATAGCTACCCCCAATGCAACCAAGCCTCCAGAGCTCTGAAGAGTATGTCAATTATGTGGTGGCTTCAGCAAGGACTGTGTCCACAAGCACATTGACAAAGTGACAAATCAGGCCTTCAAAACACCAGCTGCACCAGAACTGGGGCAGAGAAGTCAGAAGTCACTCAGCAGAGATCAAAGACACAGCCGAGGGGGTTTGTGCTGACAAAGCTAGTTGAATGGTGTTTGATTTGGGACATATTTACTTTGGAAAATACCCAATACCAGCCCAGCATCAAAGTTCACATTGAAACCCTGCTGGTGACCTTGGCTCATTTCATCTCTGCCACACTTCTCAGAAGCACAGAGGTGAGTTGGGTTTCTGACATTTCTGCTGATTATAAACTCTTATTTGCGGTGGTTAGAGATGGGTAACTGGTGCATTTCTCTATCAAACTACAAGTTCAAAAGCTTTCTACATCATCCTAAAAATGGAAAAATGTTTTTATTTTTTAGTCTGCCTATTGTAACATTCGTCAGTTACGTTTTTGAGACAATTGACAAAATTGGAACAGGAACTAGAATAAAGTATTGTGCCTATGTTAGATTATTTTAAATGGATAACTGTACTATGATGGTGCATGAAAATATCCTTGTCCTTAGGCACTTTTCCCTAAAATATTAGAATTTAAAGTGAGAGGGACGTACAAGTGACCTATTGTCAGAAAGTTCAGAAAAAAAAGAGTATACATGTGTGCCTGTGTGCACACCCATACACACACACACACACACACACACACACACACACACACACACACGCATACACACGGAGAGAGCCATAAAGCAACTGTTCTAAAATACAAAAGCTGGTGAAATCTGGGTGCACAGGGATTGTTTTTTATGCTGATCTTTCAACTTCTGTAAGTTTGAAGTTATTCTAAAATGAAAGATTTTTAAAAAAAACTTTAGGCAGTTACTTCTCTCCCAACACATCTGCCCTCTTGGGGTCTGAAGACACACCCTGGAGGGACTAGGGTGTCCAGATGTTATGCTCTGATGCGTGATCAAAAAGGCTAAACCTGTTCCATACAATTGGCATGAGAAAGCGCCATATAAAGTTCCCAGAAAAGCAAACTTTTGAATGATTTACCTTTAAAAAATATTGCTTCTCTTCAAAGATAGTCATCTGGATTTAAACACAACTTAGTGATAGTTTTAAAGTGTCTTATATAATTCTTAATAAATGGCAAAATGACAGGAAGATGGGCCTTTTAGATCCTTAATTTAAAAAAAATTTTAGGGGCGCCTGGGTGGCGCAGTCGGTTAAGCGTCCGACTTCAGCCAGGTCACGATCTCGCGGTCCGTGAGTTTGAGCCCTGCGTCAGGCTCTGGGCTGATGGCTCGGAGCCTGGAGCCTGTTTCCGATTCTGTGTCTCCCTCTCTCTCTGCCCCTCCCCCGTTCATGCTCTGTCTCTCTCTGTCCCAAAAATAAATAAACGTTGGAAAAAAAAAATTAAAAAAAAAAAATAAAAAAAATTTTAATACTTATTTACTTTTGAGAGAGAGAGAGGCAGAGACAGAGACAGAATATGAGCCGGGGAGGGGAAGACAGAGAGGGAGACACAGAATCCGAAGCAGGCTCCAGGCTCTGAGCTGTCAGCACAGACGCAGAAGCAGGGCTTGAATCCAGGAACCGTGAGATCATGACCTGAGCTGAAGTTGGACACTTAACCGACTGAGCCACCCAGGTGCCCCTTAGATCCTTAATTTTAATCCACAAACAATATCAAAGAGCTTTTCTCCTTCCTCTAATAAGGGAATAATGAACACTATTTTTGGCTTTTTATCAGATAATGCAGAAACAGGGTATAAGAAGCTTCCAAATATACTACATGAATACATGAAAAAAACATGAATGTCTTCATCTCTGCCTCCTTATCTGGTCTCAGATTCCTTTTCCTGAACTCTTACTCATTCACGTTATTGTTGTTGTTTTTAACCTTGTTTTTATCTGAGAAGGATCCTTTTAAGTGCAGCCTAGAAAGGAGACTTTCATCACGTTGCTCACTTTCTTCTCTTTTTACAGTGTACTGCTATCAATATTCACGCCCAATTCTGTCTGGAAATTGGGCCCAGTTCTACCTGTAGCCAGACACATTAGAAGTTGTTTCCCGCAAGTGGGATAGGTGTGCAGCATGGTAGCCTCAGCTGGGTGCTGGTGGGGTGGGGGGGCGGTGTGGGGCAGGAAAAGACAGCGGACATTTTCTAAGTCAGAAACTGTGACTTGCCCTCTCCAAAATGTGTGATTCAAAAGTCTCTTGGTGGTGATTAGAACAGCATTTGAGCCGACTATTTTCACAGTACCATAGGGGAAGACCCAACCAAGGAGGGAGACTAGGGGGCAGAGAAACCAGTCCTGGTGCTTCCAGGCAAACAGGTGGAGGTTCCACTGCCACGTATAGTGACACAAGGCTCAGTATTCTGGTATGTAAAATGCTGGAAGGATGAAGTTAAGTTGCACAGATGAAGTTCCTTGTATAGCACCTGGCATTCAGCAGACACTCTATCAAGAACCACTGCTGTCATCAACATCAACAAAACCAAGAGCATCCCAAGTGGGGTATCTGTATAGCTAGCCCCATTTCCAGGCCTAACAAGTCCAAATATTTATTTAACAGGTGCCAGTAACTCTTATCTGGCTTGGACTAGAGGCAGATATTCTGGTGATCAAATATCTACCTAATGGGAGATGGTTACACACACACACACACACACACACACACACACACACACACACACACCAAACTTTACAAGACACAATTCTTCCATCTGGTTTCTTCAGAAGTGATGCTGGGATCACGTGTGATGGTGTAGCATTAAAAATGCCTGCTGTTGCTGTCCCAGAGAAACACAGAAGCATCAAATGATAGTTCATCTACCCAGGATGTAATTATTACATAGGAAGTAAGCAAGAGAAAGGTAAAGCCATTGGTAGGTAAAACTGATTTGACAAATCAAGGCACATCCTTCCTTGGAACAAGGCAAGGGATGGGTAGATAAAGACAGGCTTACTTACCACAGCATATATATTAAAAATTTACCTGGTTGATTTCAATAAAGGGACTGCCCCTCAGGCCTTTTAGTAAGAGCTGACATTACCCTAACACAGACCTTCTAAGTCTGGTAAGATTATTTCTAATTCAATGCTAGAAGCAGTTAAATAAGAAAGTTTTAGTAGTTCTCCTGCTAGCAGTGGGAGCCAAGTAACAGATGCAAAGAAGACAGCACATCTGCGGTAAGCCATATAACCTCACAGCTTCTGGGGCTCCAGGGGAAAGACGAGCCACCAGTCACCTTTCATTAGGCACCCAGAGGATCACTACATTACGACAAATTCCAAATCTTACGCAAATTACACAACCCCAAAATAATGACACAAATCTCACATTATCTTTAGGATATCTGTTTTCAGAAAAGCCTGGCCTGCATACATTTTGCAACATCTCCACTCAGGCCCCACCTCTTGGTGAAGCTTGGTGAAGCTCTCCTGGCACCCTGCTCCTACCACAGGAAGCAGAGCCGCACCGCAGCTCTGCACCCCTACCTGCTTTGGTAGTGTCCTTATGTGAGGCCCGTGCTTTATTACACATCTGCTCCCCATCAGGCGAGCAGAACCCCTTGGTGGGGGAGACTTTTGTGCCTCCCGTGCCTAAAATATGTTGTTTGGAAACAGGAGACAAAGTTTAGTGAATGAATGAAAAAGAAACTCCCTGGGAATGCTAAGCCCCCAGGATTCTATATGGTTTTAGTTTTGCAAACCTTAAAGAAGGGATTCTCAAGTAGGGTCCACAGATCCTTCAGGCAGGTTTATGAAACCACACAAAATATTAGTTACCTGTTTATCTTCACCAGCTTCTCTTAAAGTTCATGATCCTAAAATGGTTAAACACTCTGACTCCCAGGGCACCTTCCTGGGTCAAAACCCAGATGACTGCTTGTCATCTGAGCAGTGTGGTGGCAGGTCCATGAGGCCACCTCTCACCATGTCATTGGTTTTCTCTCCCAGCTTTAGCTCTGCCAAAATGAAATGCCCATTCCAATCCCTCATCATTTCTCTCATCCTAATGTCTATATGTGGGAGCAACAGCCTGGCTGGTCAGCTTGAGAAAGGAGGGGAAGATTCTATATCTGCAGACCCCCAATGGGGGCAGTTAAATAGCAAAAACCTGAGCATGCCACTTCTCCCTGCTGACTTCCACAAGGAAAATACGGTCACCAACGACTGGATCCCAGAGGGGGAGGAGGACGAGGACTATCTGGACCTGGAGAAGATATTCAGTGAAGATGATGACTATATTGACATCATCGATGCGGTTTCGCCAACCGATTCAGAGGCTGGCGAAGGGAACATCCTCCAGCTCTTCCAAGGCAAGAGCCGAATCCAGCGTCTCAACATCCTCAATGCAAAGTTCGCTTTCAACCTTTACAGAGCACTGAAGGAGCAGGTGCGTCCTTCCGACAACATCTTTATAGCCCCAGTGGGCATTTCCACCGCCATGGGTATGATTTCCTTTGGCCTGCAGGGGGAGACCTATGAACAAGTGCACTCGATTTTGCATTTTAAAGACTTTGTCAATGCCAGCAGCAAGTATGAGATCATGACCATTCACAATCTCTTCCGTAAGCTGACTCATCGCCTCTTCAGGAGGAATTTTGGGTACACACTGAGGTCGGTCAATGATCTTTATGTCCAGAAGCAATTTCCAATCCTGGATGACTTCAAAAGGAAAGTAAAAGAGTACTACTTTGCCGAGGCCCTGGAGGCTAACTTCTCAGACCCTGCCTTCATATCGAAAACCAATAACCACATTCTGAAGCTCACCAAGGGTCTCATAAAAGACGCTCTGGAGAATATAGACCCAGCTACTCAGATAATGATTCTAAACTGCATCTACTTTAAAGGTAAGAATAGCTGGGGCACCTGGGTGACTCAGTCGGTTAAGTGTCCGACTTTGGCTCAGGTTAGAATCTCATGGTTCGTGGGTTTGAGCCCTACGTTGGGCTCTGTGCTGACAGCTCAGAGCCTGGAGCCTGCTTCTGCATGTGCTCTCTCTCTCAAAAATAAATAAACATTAAAAAAAGAAAAATTTAAAGGTACGAATAGCTTAAGTTTCTCAAAACAAATTCGCAACATACTTTTAGTGCACAGATGGACTGAACATCAAGAACTATATTCTAGAGGCTCCTGGGTGGCTCAGTCAGTGGAGTGTCTGACTTCAGCTCAGATCATGGTCTCATTGTTCGTGGGTTCAAGCCCCACATTGGGCTCCATGCTGACAGCGTGGAGCCTGCTTGGATTCTCTCTCTCTTCCCCCCTCTCTGCCCCTCTCCCATTCATGCTCGCTCACTCTCTCTCAAAATAAATAAACTATACAAACTATTTTGAAAAAATGTTCTAGCTCTGATTTATCCAGGAAACCAAGACACAGGTTAGCTCACAGGGAAGATGAGGATGGGGTGATGGTGGCAGCTGACACTGAGCCCTAACTCTGTGCTTTCTGCTCACTGAATCTCCACCAAAACCTTGTTATTAGTGTTGCATGTTACAGATGGAGCCACTAAGGCACAGAGAAGTAAAATGAGGCTCCCAGGGCACACAGTCAATTAAGGGCAGAGCCAAGGTTGTCCCAGGTTGCTTTGTTAAATTGGAAGAAAAAATGGAAAACCTTTTTAGAATTTGGCCAGCCTAGATTTGAGGGTTTTTGGGGTGTTTTTTTCCATCTCCTTCCCCAATTATTGGTAAGCAGGAATATGGACAAGAGGCTGAAGACAGATGTCTGAAAACTGTTCAGCTTGACTAACTGACATGAACACCTGCAACTCCTTTTTGGGATACTTATGCACTAATGGGCAGGAGGGGGGGGGGGGAAATATACTATTATTTCTAGACCAACTGTTCTGCGCCAGGCAAGAAAGGAGGACATTCCCCAACCCCACACCACTATGCACATAGGACCCCTGGGATCCTAGAAATAAATTGGCAATGGACTTGTAAAACCCAAACCTCTTTCATAGTGCCCTGGGACCTGAACCAGAAGAAACCTCTACCCCACTCTACAAGCCTAGAGAGCCAGAGGGCAGACACAAGGAATGAGTCTATATCTCAACGACTCATGGTGACACACAATCACTCTCCTCTCTGCCACCAAGAACTGGCAGGCACCAGCTAGAGTCAGTCCCCCAGGTCTGGGAGGCCACGCTTCTTCGCTACTTAGCTCCAGTGTTGGTTATAGCAGCCCAGAGAGGTGAAGGACAGGAGACCTCTCTTGGCTGCTGCTCTGAGGTAGTGGGGCTGCTGAAGGTAAGCCGAGACCTCCTCACAGCTGTGTCAGGTAGGCATTCTGCCAGATGGGCAAAGTAGGGCTGAAGCAGCCAAGACCACAGGAGGGACATGGAGGCTGAGCCAGGTCCCTGGGCTTCCTCCCCGAATGCCAGGCACACCGCTGGCCTTGTGGTGGGTAGATCAAAGGCTGAGGCTCTAGCAGGCTTGTGACAGACACAGACACACACACATGAACTATATATACAATGAACACATACATATAATTTTTATTACTGGCTGTAAGTATGTCTTTTGGAAGTGAGCAAACTGGAGTGTAAGCCCTGGCCTCACCACTCCCTATTCATGTGGCCTCAGGAAAGTCATTCAATGTCTCTGCGACTCAATTTCCTCACCTTTATCACAGAGATGATAACATCTACTCTAACAGGGCTGTGTGCAGGACTGCAAGAGACAGTGATACAGTGCTAGCCCAGTATGTGGAATGTGGCAGGAGTTTAATGAACTTGAATGAGTAAAACTGCAGATGTCAATGTCATATAATATATTAAGTAGGTATGATATTGCTAGTGATGTTTACTCTGCTTCTATGGGCAACTAACCTATGTTTAGGAATGGCTTTAGAACAGCCAGTGTAAGTTACTTGGGCAGCATCAAGGCCCTCAATCTTACTGGTCTGTGGGGCACCCTGGACACGAATGCCTACGCATTAGGCTAGCTGGATGATTGGGAATAGACAGAGAAACACAGCAGCAAGCCACTCATGCCAGCATGGGCTTCAGAAATAACTAGGACAGTCAGTTTATGACCTCCTGCACACAGTGACCAGTGTAACGCCAAAGGGCAAAAGTGGCAAATATATGTGCGTCCTTTTCCCCTCATGTTGGATAGTCACTTAATTTAGTGTTGGAACCAGAGGGATGAAATGCTAATAGGAGTTAGTCTTTCATTGATGCTTATCAAAAGAAAGGAAGGTCTAGAGGTGTATTTTATTTTATTTTATTTTATTTTATTTTATTTTATTTTGAGAGAAAGAGAGTGTGTGTGGGAGTGGGGAAGGGGCAGAGGGAGAGAGGGAGAGAGAGAATCTTGGGCTCCGCACCCAGCTCAGATCTAACACAGGGCTCAAAGTCATGACCGTGAGATCATGACCTGAGCCAAAATCAAGAGTCGGACACTTAACTGACTGAGCCACCCAGACGTCCCTAGAAGTGTAATTTTAATCACCAGCTTCTAAATCTGTTACTAATTTGATTTTTAATTACAAATGTTATAACCACATTGCAAAGCCAATAAAAACAGAGGTTGGGCCTCAGGAGGAAGTCAGAAGAATCCTAGGAGACATGTGACAGCTCCAGCAGAAGGGTAGTGACATCCGTGGTTGCAACAACCTGGGGGCAGGGGGAAGCACCCCTGGCATCTCAGGGGCAAAGGTCAAGGATGCTGCTAAACACCCTACAAGGCAGGACAGCCCCCACAACAGAGAACTGCCCAAATGTCAACAGTGCCGAGGCCGAGAAGCCTGGGGCAGAGGCCCGCACAGGGAGAAGGAAACCTAGCTCCCATCACAGGCAGGCAGTTTAAACCTCCTCCTAAAGAACCTCCAGCTTACCTCATCCCAGCAGTTCTAACTACCAACTGGAAACCTAGA